TCTGCCAAAAGTTTTGTTCATATATATATATATATATATGCGTTGCTTACACGATTACTATTGAAATCAAAAATTAATTAAAATCAATTAATAGTTGATTCACTTTATTTACAAATACGTGTAAATATAGGTATTATATATATATAATTTTCTTGCCATCAGGATCTTTTCTTAACTAGAGTAAGAAATTAAGCAAATACAATAATAAACTAATAGGAATGTTTGTAAATTAATTAAGAAGTTAATAATGTTGATAGCTGTTTTTGATTTCGTACAATTTCCGAGTTTCTGTCTTAACCGCTCATTGAAGTCTCCGATTAAAAATTCAGTAAAACGATGAAGTTCTTATCTAAACTTTAGAAAAAGTGAGAATAAACAAAATACCTAATGTTTATAACAATATATGTGGAATATACAAAGTAAAATGTCTGTATTTCAGCAGATATATTATAAAATTCCATACACATACATGTACAGCCTGAAATTGGATCTCTGAAGTTTTATGATCTTTCCACTGAAATATTTGTACATTCAACACATATTGTTATAAATATTAGGTATTTTGTTTATTCTCTCTTCCTCTGTAGATAAAAATTTTAAGGGTTTATTGAATATTTTAACCGGTTAAGACAGAAACTCCCAAATTGTGTGAAATCAAAGACTGCTTTCAACTTTTTCAACTCATTAATCTATTTATGAGCATTTTTGCTGGGTTATTAATGTATTTGCATAATTCCCTAGCTAAAAATTGTATCAGTTTATTGAATTTTTTAATCGGAGACTTCAATGAGCGGTTAAGACAGAAACGCCCAAATTGTTTGAAATCACAAACTGCTTTCAACATTAGTAACTCATTAATCTATTTATAAACATTATTGCTAGTTTATTAANACCAACCTTGACAAGTGCAAATTTTTTGGAAAAATTTTAATGATGTACAATATGGAAATTTTAGGTAGTTATTCATATACGTTTCCATCTTGATTTTTTAATTCCAAAATAATGATACAAATGACAAGTTCATTAAACAGCTTTATGGAAAAATAATATTTATGGATATCTACATTTTACTAAATGATGTTTTGTTGTCTTTAGTTAATTTCTTTGTTAATTTCAAAACAATGGAAAGTTTCTACTTTTGCTGTTGATTTTTAATTTTTATACAACTGTTAATTATTTTTGTCCATATATCCATTATTAGAAAGAATTAGGAAAATAGAGGATTCTATGGAAGCCAATAATAAATAGGCGAGATATGTTGGTAGGATACCTTCTCAGGCATGAAGAACTGATTAGAGACATATTAGAGGCAGAAACAGGAGTTAAGAGGAGTGGAGGTAGGCCTAGATTAGATTACTGTTCGCAAATAGTTAAAGATGTGGGCTGTAGCTCCAGAGAAACGCGAAGATTAGTTCAGGATAGGAAAAAGTGGAGGTGCGTGTACAACCAGTCTTAGGACTGACGCCCTTATGATGATGATTTATTTGTAATATAGAAATATTGTGATCAGGGATCAGGTAATCAAAGTGCAAATTCTGGAAGGAAGAAAAGTGTAGAACGAAATAAAGGACTTTTAGTTGAAACCAACATAAAATTTACTATATATAAATCATAGCAATGAATGTTGATTTCAACAGTTGGAGTGTTATATATGATCTTTGGAAAGTATAAAAAGCAGAATGGAAGCTTTTATGTATTGGGTTACTGCTCTGATACAAAGAAAAGAGAAATTTTGCGGTTTGTAAGCTAATTATGAACGCTACTTTTTCTTACAATTAGTTGAATACCTCATAGCAAATATTTATGGATCAAAACATCTAATAATAAAACTTTGTTAAAATTCCTTACTTTCAAATAGGTTACCTTCTTTTTTTGTATAAGTACAGCAAACTTGTCCTTAATTTCGACACATATAATTTTATAACATCTTCAATTACATTTTTCTACAGTGGTACGTAATATTAGCTGAAAATCATAAAATCATTCGAATTTTATTTTCTCTTTTTAATTTTACTGAAATTATACATTACACGCTAGCGTATTTAGGTTTACTGCTGCCCCGGTCTAATTAAGTGTGACTACCTCTATCATCAGCAGCATTTCTTCACATCCTTACCTTGTAAAATAATATAGTTATGGCATAATTGATGCAGAAACTAACGAATTTAGTCGCATTTGGGATGGTTTTTTAATCTTCGGTGTACGGAAAATTGTCTCTTCGCAATGCAGTTAGAAGCAGGCGTACATAAAAATATTCCAAAAGCGGTATTAATATTCGTTAATTTTTTTACTTAATAGGAGGGCTGTGTTAGGAGAGACACCTACAGTCTTTAGGTATTCCCGAAAATGTGGGCTCTCATGAAATTTATATACCGGATTAGCAGGTAAATCAAGTTTTATATAATCAAGCCACTTTCGGCTCTTTTTATTCATAAAGTTCGACTACAGAGGATAGAAGTCGATGCGCTCAAATTACAAAGCAGTTCGACTTAAGACATGAGACGTGTCTGTAGAGATATGCAAAATGGTCTTTTAAAAGCATTTAAATACAAAATGCAAATACTTTTTTGATTTGTTATTTCAAATGTAAAATACAAAATAGATTTCCCTTTTGTATTTTATATGCTAAATGTAAAATACCTATTTTCAAAATACTTTTTTCAAATAAATACTTTTTTGTAGTACCTATTTGATTTTCTACATTTACTTAAGTATAAAATATTTTTTAAGAAAACCTTATTGGAATTTTTCTAGACTAACGGTGGTGTTTGCACTGTATCACCAGCTACAAAGATTGAGTATGACTAACATTTTTTGTTTGAAGTGATTAAGATATAGTTTTTTATCTTTATGTTATAGTTTCTTCAGTTCAACAACAAACAATTCTTCTATATGCTTCCTTATTTGCCTTTGTCACCCGTTTTAATTGGAAAAAAGACACTGATGCCAAAATATTTTGTTTACCGTGAGCCAAAGTAGGGTTGCAAATAATTTTATTGATGTAAAACCACCATCAATCATTTTATATCAAAATATTTACAAACCCATTTTGTTTTCAATCTTTTACACATTGTAATAAAAGAAAGAAATGGAATCCATAGTTTCTTTAGGTTTGGGTTCATCTAATAAGTGAAGTTTTCTAAGAATTTTGGATTGTAGGTATTTATTAGCATTCCACAATATCTTGTAGTTTTCAGTTTTACACAACTGGCGTATATCAATTCGATATTATTTTGAGGGCTGTTTTATCGTATTTCATAATATTTCGTAGTTCCTTGTTAAAGGTACGATAAGTAGTGATTTGTCAGGTGCTGATATCAATTTGGAACTTCAAAATTCCAGGGATCATGACATTGAACTCGGAAAACAATATCGATCCAATATTTTAGATTATCAATTTCTAAGGAGTTAAAGCCATTCATGGAATGTCTCTTTGTTCCCTTTTTAAGCTTCTAATATCTTCAAAGGCCAATGTGAGCAACTTTCATTCATCATTTTAAATAATGTTTGATCGGTGTGATACTAGCAAAACTTTAAACGGCGAAAATGTATTTTGCATTTTACAAATAGAAAATATGTTTGGAAAAGTATTTTAAATAAAATACATAATGCTTTTCTCAAAAAAGTACTTATTTAAATCCAAGTATTTCAAATAAATCACATCGCTGGTATAGATCATCATCAACATGAATAAATAATTGAAGATTTCGAAATGGAGAGATAAAAACTATTTAACGGTTCAAAAATGAAAATTAAATTAGGTTTATGATCGGCGAGAAAATTTTGATGATTAATACGTATAGGTTGCATTCGCGAGCATTTGCTAGAAGCGTTATCTGAATGGGATTTGCTAAAGTCTACCACAATGGGCAATTTTTCAGCATTATTACGATACCGTAAGAATAAATAAAGAAAACAAAACGTTTACGCCAATACTAGTGTATTATTAATCCCCTTATCAATGTAAACTTTGTTCGTATCATAGAATAACGTTTCTTGGAAAATCAATTCATGATTTACCAAACATTTAAGTGATTAGTTTTTGAGTTTCACGCAAATTTTTACAACATTAACACATACATACTGTGTAATAATGTGCTAATATATGCGAATGTTCTAATGTATTAATATAGTAAT